TTGTGCAACAAAATCCGTTTAATGTCGGGCCGTGTGGTGTGAAATAGAAAAATTAAAGCTCAGCGTGTGCTGGAAGAAAAAAAAATTAATCCTCCTAAAGTACCGGAGTGCCGTAACCGCGACGTATACTGCGATCGGGCCCAACGAGTCATCCTGCGAAAAACTCTAGCAACTACCCACAAAAAACCATCAATTGCCGTTCCTGTCAGGGGACGAGGGGAGGAAAAATAAATGGAAATCCAAACGAAGCTCTTCAGAGTTCAATCATCAATCAAACGAGCAAGCGTATACCTATTCGTACAGAGCAGGAGCGCCATTCATAAACGGGAGCACATCTCCGAGCTGAGGGAGGGAGGGGTGGCGCATGCATTCACGAAACCTTTAAATCCCTGCGGTGGCAAAAGAGGAGTAGGGGCCGACCTCTACTCGTGTATACGCGTACACACACACACAAAGACGCGCTCGCTTGCATCATAGGTATATACCCCGGTGCTTTCAATCGCGTAGTAGCTATCAGTGTGTGTGTGTGTGTGTGTGTGTCATCTACGTGTTTCACGCTCGCTGAATCCATCCGCGCGCACACACTCGCGTGTCCAGGTTCTGACCTACTGACACGATCCCGTGACGTCACGGGAAGCCTCGAGGGTTGGGAGGGAGCCGCTCTACCCCCCCACCGAACACCATTCCGCGCAGATATATAGGCGCTCTGACGCTGCCCGCGCGGGGGCTGACCCCGAAAGCTCCCGCCGCCGATATGCTCCGAGAAATCGAGCAGAGCCTCCTGCAGACATCAGCTCTCTTGCGCGGCTATTGTTCTACGAATGTGTTGGGAGACGTCATCAGCGAAATAAAAAAAAAAAGTCTAGTGCATCTCGATGTTTTTATGTTAGCTCTACGGACATTGGCACAAAGTGTTGGAGGTAACTCGATCCTCGTGAAAAAAAAAAAAAAAAAAAAAAAATTACCGATCTTTCTCGATAAATCGAATCTGTGAGAAAAGAGGAAGGAAAAAAAGGATACGTCAAAAGCTCAAAATGATACACACAAAACAAAAGATTTACCGAATACTAAAAAAAAAAAAAAAAAAACATGTATGCATATATGTATGTATAATCTGCCGTAAGTTTTATTTTCTATACGAGATAGCGGTGCTCGAGAGGAATTCATGTTTATCGGAAGAGAGGGAGCTTTTCCGCTCGACGGCAACGCGGAGTGCTCGTAAACGAAACCCCAGTTGGCATAGGAGTAAACGGGGAGAGAGACAAAATGGACGAGTATAAGAGGTGGAATTAAAATCGAGGAGGAGGAGCTCAAAATCCAAGGAAAGAGAGAAAATGACTACGAGTGCAAGAGACAGCGACCCTGAGGGAGGGAGAGGCTTTTCTCTTTTCTCGCGCGTTAATCATGTTGCCGAGCGTAGGTTTGGTTCGTTACGCGACGAGGGCGATGTGGTACCTATACGAACGTGGTAGATTTTTTTTCAATCCCTCACGGCCTTGTCTCGACTCGAGGTACTCCGGTCGAGCTTTTCCTTCGCGACTTCCTGCTTCGGCTGATTATATGTGTACGAGATGCTGCTTTGAAGATGCGAGCAGATCTCTTTCTTCTATCCGCGTCCTTTGAGATCTGCAATTTTGACAAGAACGAGAGAGATTTATTTTTATGCGATTACTGCAGCTATTGGTCTTTTGTTGCTGCTTTTTTTGTTCAACAGGGTGAATACTGCAAATGAATTATTTTGGGCAAGAGTCGTACGTGGGTTTGCCGTATCCAGGGAATAAAATTTCAAAAGCAGAGCCCTCCAGTTATATAGCTTTTCATTCCTGTTTCGCAGGGAGTTGGGTATAAGTAAAAGTTTGCGGCTTTTTGAGCGTGGAAAGTGGAAGAGTGTATTTTTACAATACCAACAACTTTCGTGCGATCACCGGTGTCCACCAAAGTCGAGTTAACGAGCTAAACGCGAGAGTTGCGATTGGCAAAGAAAAAACTCCTCATTCCGCGCGAAACTCGGGAAACGAGGACATTTTCGAGAAAAAAGAATATGAATAACAATTCAGCTTCCACCTGGAAGAGCAAAAGAGTCCGTAAAAGGCTATATCGTTTCCCCACGGCCGGACCAACTTTGGCGAACCGCGATCCCAAAGCACAGCGAGGCGCTCTCATCGGCAACGTCACGTGCTTCTCCGACAGAATTTTTTCGCGTGGCTTCGTCGCAAGCCGGTCGGTTCCCCCCCTCCTCTCTGCCCCTTACTTTTCAAAATTCCCATCTGCCGCGAGAGTGTTTCGGTGCCCTCGTCAACAAAACCTCGAGTGCGATTACCCCGGTCCTACACCCGTTATCCGTCAATCGGTCGCGAATGGAAAATTTAACCTCAAACCTGCCCCGTGATTCCTGAAAAAAATCAACCCAAGTGGCAAGATATCCCCGAGCTGACCAACCAGTTGATTGTACGGAAGAGGAAAATCACCGACAAAGAGGAGGATGAAGATCGGATGAACCGCAGCTGGGATTTCTCGGAAAAGGAAGACGCATCCACGGGGACGTGGGTGACTTTGGCACTGAATGTACCTGATCATCTTGCGTTGGCCGAGTGTTTGCTGCTGCTGGAGGACAACAAGAGTCTTGGAGAGCAGGAAAAATCATACTTACGAATCGTGTCGCGATGAAGTTTCTTTTTTTTTTTTTTTTTTGGCGTTTTAGATTATATCCTTACGAAGGAAGGTAAACGAGGTTAGCTTTGGTTCCTTTGTCGCGGAAAAAATTCAATTCCTGCGGCTCTACGAGCGATCCCTGGCTCAGCTTGACGCTAATAAGCTTAACTTGGACGCAAATTTAATAAAACCACCCGAAAGCCAACACCAGACTGTATATACTTATTTAGTCGCCGGGTCACGTGAACACAGTGCATAGGCAAAATCCTCAAACGCATCGTACCTATCGGAAAATTCATCGGGAGAATTTTTCGATTCGCTCGAATGCCGACGAAAATACCGTATCCCACTGAAGAGCGACGAATTATTTCCGTCCGACTCGGTTCACCGCCGACATCCAATCCATCGGCAGGCATTATTACAAAACCCCTCCTTCCTCGCCCCCCACCGGCAGCAGCAAAGCCACCCTCTCTCGTTGAGCCATGGCTCATTCATGAACTCTTTCCCTCTCCGTCTCTTTTCAGAGGAACGATCGTTACGTCATTTCCGGATCATCGGAGGAGACGGAGTATTAGAGCCGGTGGAAGAGAGGGACGTTGTGGCGCACAACTGGACTTAAAAGGACGCTCCTCCCGTCTTGTCAAGCTGGACTCTATGTTTCGGACGGCCCTGCGCCTCCGGAACGTCAGAAAGCCACAGGGCATCGATTGGATATCGAAGGTTCGCCGCGTTTTTTTTCCCTCTTCCCTTCCACCCCCGGGATCTTTCGCTTGAGCATAATGCCACGGGTGGGGGGGATGGTAAATCGGGTGAAAAGATTTTGTCCTCGTTGTTGTTGTGTTTGCTATTCCAAAGCCACCAATGTTGGGATTGTTATGAGGTTTTTCAATCGAAAGTAGGCCGAGCAGGATGTACATTGTGCCCGTAACTTTTTCCTTTTTTTTTTTTTTTTTTTTTTTTTTTCTAAAGTGAATATTATGCTTGCGATGGTGCCCGTGAATGAATACTCCAGTGTGACTCGGTAATTGAAGAAGGACGTGTCCGTTGAATATTTTAATGTGCGTATCCTGTTGCACTTTTTTTGAGAAACGAAACTAGTAGAAATATCCCAGTTTGGTCAGACATGACGTTCAGTTGGAGAAATGCACTGACACGTCGGGAATCTTTGCACGATTCACCTATAAATTATCAGCTCTTTTTTTTAAAAGCACGTGCAATGCTCATCACCGTCAATTATATGCCTTGAAAATAAAAGTCAGCATTGAATATCAAAATACATATCGTACCACTTTACACGGGCTTTCATAAAATTTCGTTTCAGTCACGAGTCCATTAAAACAAGTTTAAAACAAACGCTCGTCGTATGAAAACCCCCCTCATCAATCATATATTAATCGGACGGAGGCTCCAGTGCTCGAAAAACCCCCACAGCTCTCCAGTGAGTTGAAAAAAGCCCCCAGAGCTGAGCCACAAATACGCGTCCCACGAAATTTTGGTAAAAGAAAATTTCAATCTTACCCTTGAAAAACAAAAAAAAAAAACAATTCTCAGTAAACAGACGCGTGCAGTATCACGAGGAGAAAAATGTAAAAAGTCCGGCGTCCAGCACGTGCAACTCGATCCTCCACGTACGATATACATATACGAATATATACACCCAAAGAGATGACGAAACGGATGCGCGTGCATCTGCTGGCCGTCGCATGTGCAGTCGGTCACGCACGGCGCTGGCTATCCAATGCACGATGTACACCCCCCCACTGCGAGAGAGTAGGTATACGGTACACAACAGAGAGTAGTCCACCCACCCCAACGGCGCATCGACGCGTGGAAGCGGGACGGAAGGGCGAAGGTAAGGGAATACATATATATNGATCCAAGTATACCTTATAAACTTTATTGGATCAATTTAAAATACAAGTAACATTATTTTGTAATGATACAAAAGTTAATCCACGAGACATACTATGCAAGACTCAAGTTGGCTAAATTCTAGAATTGTTGTCCCTTCGGAGTCAACGATACGAAAAACTTACAAAGTACGGAGGGCGGGAGGGGGGGTGGTGGCGCGTGCGCGATCGCGGCGGGTATCGACGCCCGGGCACGACAGTCGGCCGTGCCACCGCCACAGACGGACACGAGAGAAAGAGAGACGCGTGTATTTTCAAGCCCCCTCCTCATCCCCCCTTGGGTGCCGGTCTCCTTGTCTTTCGTGTGAGCGCGGCTATGACGCTGAGGAGAGAACGAAGGCTCGGGTGAGGGTGCAAAATTCACTGGAAAAGAGGAGCGAGAGAGAGTAGCCGAGTCCGGAGGGCGAGCGCGTCAGTAGTAAACTCCCCGCCCGATCAGCCGGGAGGCCCGCGGGCAGTGCGTGCTCTATCACCTCCCTCGGTGATCCTCCGTGTGCTGGTGTAGCTCGGCCCAAAGTCGCGGATGCTCGATGGTGTTGGCTCCAAGAGCCGTTACGTGATACCAGTTTGGGCTGTGGTCGGGAGGCTGCGCGCGACACTTTCACCACCTCTAGAGATCACTAGTGGCGAAGGAGGCGGAGGAGGCCAGCAGCCTCACCCGGGGAGGAAAAAAAAAGGATGAGAGAAAAGAGGTAAAAGAGGCCTCCCCCTCTGCCCTTTCCCTTTGGGACTTACTGTGCCGTGCGCTGTCGAGGGATGGTGCTTGTGTACCCCGAAAAGGGCTGCTGTGCATGGACCGCGGGCGAAGGTGCAGTAGCGCCAAAGGCACTCTCTCTCTCTCTCTTTCTCGCGTGCCAACCTCGGCGAGCGAAAGAAGCTGGGGGAGGCAGGGAAACACGTACATATACACACACGGACGGGGAGAGGCGCCTACTTTTCTTGTGTATTGCCCAGAAGCAGCTACTCTCCCCCAGTAATCTCTCTGTGCATATAGGCACTTTTTTTCTCTCTTGACCCGTTGCTGCTACTCCGTGAATATTCATCGTACACGAGATTCCCTCGTTCCCTTCTGCTTGAATTGGAAATGCGATCTGTCTCGCTCTCTCATCCCTTCCCTGGCCGTTTTATCTCGCTCGGTCTCAGGGGGAGCTTGTTGTTCGAGGTCATTGTGCCGCGAGAGCGCGTTTCCTGTCTGGGCGTGCAGATTAACCCACCAACGGGGAACGAAAGGGGTGATGGAATTTTTGCTGGCAACACGGCCTCCACTGCGGCAAAAAAGTGATTCCCGAAAGGTTAAGTCTCGTGTTTAGGTGCTACGTGTATACACGGCCGCGAGGCTGGTGCATCTCTCCCGAGAAGTGGCTCGAGCGTGCTAGACTTTGTTTTTTTTTTTTTTAACCTCGTCTGGTTTCTTTTTTTCCAGCAGAGATCAAGCGATGAATTCTCGTGCCACCAACCAACGTGTATTTCTGATCACCGCCTCCCCCCGATCCGAGGCTGGGTTTATTTATACGTCGGCTTGAGACGGTGCGCGGGGATGTTTACTCCCTCGGTTATCCGCTCCTTTGGGGCTGAATTTTTAATGCACGTGTCCTTCTTCTCTTTACTATGCTGTGCTTTGCAGGCTCGTTTCCACTATTTTTAGACTGATTAAAAAATGTTCCATTACCTCTGTTACTCAAACTCTGCTGTTTAGATGGAAAAAAAAAGTTAAAAATACATTTCAATGGATCGACGGTGCGAGTCCAAACTATTTATTATGCTCCCCGGCAGGTGTATCCGTCACGTCACCACCTCGGCCGTATGAGTTATTCTTTATGGCGCAATTCGTCCTCTCACCCCCTCGTTGCCGTTCTCGATCGCGTGCGCTGAGGGCGTCGGATCTCCAGCATCTACTCGATTACCCCCGGCGATTACGTCCGACGCACTTTTTCTACAGAGCCCGACAAAGGCAGGTGTACACGTGTTTCATCTATACTTTACATATCACAATCACCTCCTTACACACAATCGTCAAGGCAGCATTGTGCTTTTGATGAAAAAAAATAAATAACAATAATAATAATAATGTACCACTTTCTAAGGAATTTCCAAATCACCACCAGTCGTCAGATTACTTAACGACCCTTCGTGTCAACCACGGCATTTTTAATACCGATGTTTCAGGGCACGACAAAAAGTTCAGCCAGCCACGTGTGTGTGTATATTGAAGCGATAAAACATCCCCAGCACGCAAAGGAGTCCACTCCCTCGGAGAGCACACGCAAGCCCATCAAGTGTACACATTACCCCCCCCCCCCCCAATATACTCGTGTATATTAGAGATAACACGGCGACCTTTTCCTTCACCGAAAGGTATACATACATATACATATATAGACTCGAGTTCGGTTGTTACAGCTCGTATTAGCGGGGAGTAAAAAATTCAGTGCTCGCGCTAGTCGCATTGTGTTGCTCGAGCAAAGATCGTCTCAAAAGAGTAATGCGCCGTAAGTCGGTGGGTGTTTGCAGCGCAAGCGGGGGCTCGTGTGCACGTGTGCTCTTATTTCTCTTGGCTGACTCAATATTTGCGTTATTTCGTCGGAGCCCCCTAAAGAAGCGAGGCCAGAGTGCCGCATTCGCCTGCATACGACACGTATAGATAGGGACTGGCAGGTGGCTTTGAAATTTCAGGACAAGACGTAAATTGGGCATGGCCGCGGGGGTATTTTTAGCGCGTATCGTCCGTGGCTTATTGCGGCATCTCTGATTGTTCTCCCTCTCCGGACCCACCGCGCCGTCATTCTTCCACCGAAGGCAGCTTCGTTTCACGTGTATCTCCCTATTTTTCGCGTTTCCCCAAAATCCGTGTCAGCGAGCGGGAGGACGATTGATTGGGCGCCCGCGGCTCTCCCCCCCCCCCGCGTCTGATCTCTTTCGGGCTTCGGGTGCTCTCTATCGGTCATCGTACCACAAAACCGTGTCGGGCTTCTTTCGAAATCAAGGCTCTATTCACGAGGGTAAAGGTTCAGCCGGGACCTCTCGAGTTCGTCGATTATCCCGTGCGAATGAGCTTTCTCACTGAAATGCAAGGATACGTGCCGTGAGACGTGATTTTGATGACAATTTTCTGATGACGCTCCATATTTACGTATTTGAGAGTGCATTTTTCGATTTTTTCAAGAAAAGTGCTTTTCGATTAAATGAGGATATTGGTAGTCCTTGGCTCTCGCGAGACGATGGGCGAACTAATGTTGGGTTGATAAAACGATACTGTGAATTTTACAGGTCGATGGGACGGCTTGGAAAAAGAAGCCACTATTGTATTGTAAAATAAGTATATTTTTTAACACATCGAACACAATATCAATGGCGATACTATCAAGCTCTAAATTTGAGACATTGATTGATTTAAATTACAGTGATTTATGCGTGACGTGATAATACTATTAACCGAATAACACCTTCAAAATAGTTGTTTACATCTGCAAAAAAAAAATCTTTCTCGGTATTATAGATGTGGTTGTTGGTAAAAAAAAAACTTATTTTAAATTCCAGTTGTAACATGAGCTTTTGTTACGTTAAAGATTAGAAAATCACTTGTATCGCATAATGAGAAATAATTAATACTGAAAACAAAATATTTTTCATTACGTACTGGTACCCTGAAAAATATAGATTCACACGTATAACCAAAATATAAAAACGAAAATGCAGGTGTACAGTTCAAACTAATTTTATTTTACACTTTATCTAGGCGTATATTCGTGATATTTAAGTTTTAAGTGAGCACGTTAATGATTTATTTAATAGGGTGAAATTCCAATCGTCTTTATAGGTCGAGTAGTGAAAAGACTAACTATAGATTTTCCAAACAAATATTGATGATGGACGAATCTTGATCTCACAATTATCATATTGGAATTGAGATGTGTGTAGAAAAAAGGCCACCAAAACAAGTGTTGAATGACGATAAACCATTATGTTTGCAAAAGACTCGTGCTACCTCAAAACATGTACGATATTTTTTCACATTAATTTTTTTTTTGTGCAATTATAATACAATTTAATAGATACTGGTGCTTTTATCTTTCTTGTCACGCATAAGTCAACCTAAAAAGTAAGCTCTTTTCAAAAAAAAGTAAACGATCCATGCACTCGAGGAATTTCAAGAGGTGTTTTTATTTATTTGTTGCTATTATGTGTATGTTTTGCGATAAATGTAAAAGATGAATGGTCTATTTTTCATTCATTAATCAATTAAAATTAAAAAAATCAATAATTCGATTCTTGTTGAATTTGAATGGTTCAAAGTAAGTTTTAGTTTTCTTCTTTAATCAGATACCTAAAAATTTTTCATTAAATATAATATATCGAAATAAATTGAGTATTTGAGAAAAAAAAAACGAATGGTTATAGGTTCTCTGTGATTTAATAATTATAGTAGTCACAACAATCATCCGTAAAAGTTATCTTATAACTACGAGTTAAACACTAAATTCCAAGAAACTCACCTCACCATCCGTGGAACAGTTGTTCAATAAATTATTAATCTAACAAATACTATCATTACTACGTCGAGCCTATTTTATACTTGGTCCATTGGATGATCCATGAAATTTTGTACATCATCTCGATAAACAACGTGCCGTAGTTTTTTTTTAGAGGAAAATTGGATGATGCCCAAAGTGACTCGCGGAATATTCATCGTGATCCATTAGAGACTGTTGTTTCAGCCAATCGATAAACAGAAAGAAAAATATCTAAGACCAGTATCATCCCATATAACCCATTCTTTTAACGAAAAATACGAGCAGTAATTGACTAAGTTCATGACTCGATTCCCCCATGTTTCATTCATCCGGATCCTTGGCCATTAATCTTCCGCGCGTGTAAATCTAAAAATATAAACATCGCAAGCGTCAACAGCCGAGTAATCGTATCGCAAAGGCGATCACGAAGCGATAAAACCATCCACGGTAATAAAATTACAGACAACAATGGAAATGGGAAAAAAAGACAAGCCCCCTCGTCGATATGCTGATACACGTACCCACACACACACACATACACACACACACCGGAAGGTCGAAGCAGCAACGAGGGTAAGGCACGCGAACCCACAGTCCGAGTTGGCCATTGCAAAAGAAGAATAGAAAAAAGACAAAGAGAGAGAGAGAGAGAGAGAGAGGCACTTGCATTATTTGCCGCGTTCGAGCGGATTTCCTTGAATGTGGCCTGATTCGTCGGCGATTTCTTGGTGTACCGGCGGCCCTGACATCGAGCACCGGCCAATCGCAAACAAGAACCGCGGGAAAATAAGACTCCGCGCTCGATACCCACCGCTTATGTATATTCCCTGGCAACTCTCGTGCGGACGAGCCCCCAATAATGCCTTTTCTCTTTGTCGCACTCCCGGGGCCCTCTTTTCTCTCTCCGCTCGCACTTGTCTCCCGATACGCGACGATTCCCCGCAGTCAAGGGCCGGGGGTGCCTCCTCGTCTCGCCTTCTTCCGCGCGCTTCTTCAAATGTGTACGCTTCGGATCTGGATAGGCCCACTTGGAGGCCGTTTAATTGCACATCAAACGTTTTTGTTTACACCGCTTACATATATATATATATATGTACGTACATACATACATATACGTCCACACATCGTTTTCCACCTTGTTTTACATCACGTTCACCTTGAATTTTACTTTGCTATTGATT